GCAATCATATCTTACTATCGACTTATTCCGCCGACCAGGAGACATTGTCCAAGTATAGTTTGAACAAACCTTCATGAACGCCGAGTATGACAGATCACTGACATAACTGCGCTATATGGGCGAGAACATACGCCGCTGTTTGCTCGTTGGCATCTGTTGGAATGGTTCATGGATTCAGACAGGACTTTGTTGCATACTTCATGTATGGAAGTAACAGTCAACCGGAAGGTCCCTGTCGGTCTTAAAGAAGGTATGTTCGGTGAGAAGCTCGACGACATTGTGTATTATTATTATCATTGAATGAACTTTCCGTGATTCCAGGATCATCATCGGCGTTGGTGTTGTGGCTGGTAAATGCTGTGAGATTGACAGAGAAGCATGTGGGGGGACTGGGGGCTGGATTTCAAACGTTAGTAACTTTGTTTTCCCCAGGTTTTTCTGTTTCAATGGGAACCGAGATATGCTTCTTGTTGATCTAGTTCTTTTTCGTTACTAGACGGGCGGAAAAGACTATGATCGCGGCGGGTAGTTGTACGTACCACGGTTCGTGAGGGTTCGTACGTTCCGGTATGTTTGCCGTCAGAGAGTGAGTACATATGAGTTTCATCCGTGTGATTGGTTTTGCTCACATCTTCAAGTTATCCCATCCAATTAGATCCATACATGATGCCGACTATTCCATAGGTTTGATACTCATCGGCACCCCGCACATCAACTGTCAATGGGATTTGAATGGTATTGTCCACTGGTTTACCGGAATATTGTACGTACGCGTGGATATTCGAGTTCCAGAGCGCTGAGCTAGTGAGTGAACCAATGTGAATTGCCGGTATGTCAAAAATCATGGCTTACATGATGATGATGGTGTCTACTCGAGTCTCGTAGGATCAGGTTCAGAATCGGTTGTCGGTGAGTAAGGACAGTTAGTTCAACTTGATTGGATATCGGTTAACAATCGTCACAAATAGCCTAGTAATATTCTAACTTACTCAGTACTAGACTGTCAGCAATTCTCGTAAACCTGTGACTGAGTTATCTTTTTTTCTCTTTCAATGCACATGGTGAGTTACGCCAACATGTTCATACCTTTTCACCGACAATTGACCTGTGCCAGTCCCTGACATATTTTCTAGGTCCATACTAACAACATCCGTTGAATGTCCCCGACACAGGCTGAGAAATGTGGACACATTTGACCTATCATTCACCTACTTACTAACTGCGGAAACCTCGTCGTACTGTAAGCATAAGTGTTTTAAAAGTTCTCGTGACTCGAGTGGTTCAGCATGATTCTCACTGGTTGATATGTTCATTCTCATGATAGATCGCACACTCAGGGCTACCATGCCGACACTTCTAGGACTCAGACTAAGTATGTTTCGCGGGAGGAAAGAATCAAAAGTCCGACCGCTGTTATTTGGTTTTTATCTGCCGTATATCCACCGAAATCATCAAGGATAATCCCTCGCGGAGTCACTGTAACATGATATTTTGGGATCCAGGTACCTGGGGATGGATCGGAATAAGGTAGCATATCAAGACCGTCATGCTCAGCATGCCCATGCTCGGAAGTCGCGGTCATGCATTCAAGCTACCGTTAGGCCATTCAAAATGCACCGGCAACCGATATCGCACGGATACTGCATAGAACCATCATCAAGATTCAATAATGGACTTGCCGTACCTTTCTTATGATGTATCATTATCTTACCACACACACTCCACACCGGTTATTTTATTTCTCTCGTGGTTTGCCATTGGTTCTAAGCTTAGAGACATAGAATCTAATTTCGGTAACAAATCTCGGGAAATCTCCGTCAAAACAGATACTAATGTCCACATTCTGGTGTGAATTATGATTGGGTCAACGTTGGATTGGAGGGGATGTTGATACTATTTTCGTACTAGTACTGGTACTATTGACTTTTGTCATGTATATTATAGGTATGTTTCGGATTTTTTCATGCCATTATGTATGTTTGTTCTCACTGGTAGATTTTGTTTTCCTCACATAGGGACTCGTGCGTATGGATGACCTCGACATAAGCAAGCAACCACAGTCATTGGTTTGCAATCTTCCGAGGTTTCTTTGCAGGGCTGATATCTCATGTATGTATATCTTCAACAGCACCTATTGTGCCTGATAAAAATCATGTGCATCGATGAATTTCGCACCATAGTGAAGTGCAAGCTTCGTACCGATATCCGTAGAACACGGTAACTTCAGCATTAGTACCAGGATCAGGAGAATTATCGGTTTTCAGTCTGCCATTCACTGGCGATATCGGGAGACAGGTATGTCTATAGAATTCTGTTCTCAGTCGGTTTGTCGATCCCTGAAGGTGTCCTTTTTCACCTAGATTCTGGTCTGCGGCGGCGGAAGTTTGTTCATGACATTCTCAAAGTCTAATGACTCCGAACCAGCGAACATACGCGAGAAGTTTAAACAAACATACAAGATATTTGTCGGACTTAATAGCGGCTAGTAAAGGTCACTCTTAAGTGTATAAAGTACGAGGTTCAGGTTCATTTACGAATACGAATACCCTAATTCTTGTTATCATAGGGTACTACCACCGATGTCCGTATCAACGTGGTTTTTCTTGAGATGATGGCACTCGTTCGACGTAAGGACACCCAAATCTGAACTATAGTCACCGAAAGAATATCGGAAAGAATTTGAATGCGGTTCTTTTAACTTTGGATGAATACGGAAGAGGAATATGCTTCAGAATTTCGGAATCATGACTCTAAGACGTAGTACAATTCTATAAGCTGAGTATCCTTTGCTCGATGTTTTTTGAAAGAATCATTGTCAGGGATACAATTTTCCAGATAAATTCCAGCTTCGATTCCAAATTGTCGATTGGAGTTTAAAGCTGTTCAACCTCTTCATGTCGTTAATGATTCACTGCAGAGACAACATTATAATGAAAACGTACCAACATGAAACGAATGGAACGTTAACTCGTTTTGATATGGGGATATGTCCCCTTGACTGGCGGTAAAGTTTATATGCCTTCAATTAAAAAGCACTGGGTATAGAGCCGTTGAGTTGGATGTTTGACGATGGACGTTAGACGTTGAAATTTGACGGTCACCAACTGTACAAGCCTTACAGGTATACGGAGTCGAAGTAGAGCCACGAGGGGAAGCCACGTATCCTGCCTAGTGCCGATATTGAGCGCTTAGACTTCCGATTTGTCCTCTACCATCTGCTCAATGGGCTCCTCGCGCAGGTCGCCTAGTCTTGATTTTCATTTGTTATTTGTAGGAATTTTTTTGGAGTTTTCTAACACACCTCAGAGCGATGGTTTGAAACCACGATAAAAATCGAACGTGTTATAGTGGGTCGTTTCCTTTGATTATTCGAGTCGGTTGAAACTCATTTGTTTTCTGTCTACTCTAGCTTAATTGATGTACTAATAGTGTACTCGTTGATTATTTCTGTACAGTAAACTTACCTTTCGTGCGGACGAACCACATGGACCGAAGATGATAGAAATGGAGACGAGGTCAGTTTGAGTCTAACGATCCCTCAGATATAGCGAGTTATACCCAGGTCCACTATCTCATTCTATTATTGCTGGGATGAATTGCAAAATTCTTGTCACGCGCCCTGCGTCTATCTCTGAACTCTGCGATGAGCGCAAGGCGCTGTCACTGCAAACCGTCATCCGGATGTGAAGTGAATATCAAAGAACGTTGTGGTTGGCTCAGCCACAGAAGTATTTTCGCGCACTTATCGCTCATGAAGGTGAGTTCTGTTCATTTTATCCCACTCAAAACTACAAATCAATTGCACGAAATCCACTTAAGATCGTCCTGGGACTCTTGTGGCGCTGCTTTAAGACTGCGGTTCTCAACTTATCCTATGTACTCTTATAATGCACTGATAACCCACCCGAGTAGTTCTCTATTACGTTCACCTTTTGAACTGATATTCAGTGCCCGTCACAGTCCACCCCCACTCCAATGGAAGAAACTATTGCAAACAATACCTATCCAATCATATTCTATGATCTCCCTGCGAGTGACGATTACGCTCTCAAAGCATGGTCACCCAACACTTGGATAGTTCGGTACAGTCGGATTTAAATTTCCAAGCACTCATTCTGATACAGATTCATACATGGTTCTCAGCTTAGTACTCAACGTCAAGAGACTTCCCTACCGTACAGAATGGGTAGAATTCCCCGACATCCAAGCCCTCTACACCAAGCTCGGTATATTACCGAAAAGCAAGAAGATGGATGGTTCTCCGTGGTATACAGTTCCCATCATTCACGATCCATCTACGAATACAACCATATCGGAAGTATTCCTTATCGTGCAATACCTAGATACCCATTATCCTTCGTCGACCACCGCAACTATATCCACTGCGATAAATTCACCAACTGTAGCTACCGTCGAATCACCTGACAGTTTATCATTCATTCCAATTCGCCTCATCCCCCCTAAATCGCGAAACCTAATGCTTACATTCGAGAGGGCTATCCGACCGGAAATCTGGGTCCCCACTTACCACCTAGTTCAGTACGATATATTCAAGAGTATCCCTTCCGAAAGAGCGAAACAATACTATCGCAAGGATAGAGAAGAGATAATGCATCCCGCAAAAAAGCTAGAAGATACGATCCTTTCTCCGGATGAAAGGAAAAGCAAGTTGGAGCAGCTTCAAGCTGGATATGAACAGGTTGGTAAATGGATGGATGTTGAAGGTGGAGAATATGTTGCGGGAGATCACCTCACGTTGGCGGACATTTATATTGTTTCGATCTTTATGTGGATGAAAGCACTAACTGGTGAGAATGATGAGGCTTGGAAAGCTGTTATGTGTTGGGAAGGTGGAAGGTGGGAGAGATATCTGGATAATTTGGAGAGGGAAGGGTTCTTGAAGATCTATTGAGGTCTCCTTGATACTTCCGTTTTCCTTTGGAAGCGTTTTGCGCGTCTTCATGGGACACTGTAATTAAGACTGGATCACGTCCATACAGTCCCTGGTAGTATATCGGCTAGTACACGCGCCTGTCATATTGACCTAGTGGTGGTTAAGTCCCCTTGTGGAGCGCGCGAAAGCGGGGTTCGACTCCCCGCCAGGGAGCTCTTGGTTGGTCCTTTTTGTTTGTGTCTGAAATGTTTGCGCCAGTCGTATGTGCTGAATGATGCATGATGGTTTGTACGTATATCATTTTCCTCAATAATTTTTTGATTTTATATCGAATTTCGAAACCATTTTTCCAGGTCACGTGGGCGCTTTTTTGTGTCCTCCGAGTCAATCTGTCACTGTGCATGCTTTGTTTTCTACCAGTACCATAACTATCTAGACTAGCTAGAAGCGAGTTTGTCTTTCTTCCTCAAGATCATCACACCCGCCAGTACTACTGACACCGCCCGCAGCAAAACTTGCAGCTACGACCATGTGGTTCCTCACCCTTTTGCGTTGGCTTTCCTTGGAAGACAGTTCGCAAAGTCATGGTCTACAACATCATCTGAGCGTTCAGATCAAAGTTCCTAATTGCAGTCGGAGGTCAGCTCAATATGACTAAGGATTAGGATATGCAACTAGCTCCTATTATGAGGAGTACACGGTCTATAAAAAGCTCTAAATCCGGAGGGCAAATGTGCAGTTATCGTGAGCTCATTCCCTTGTCTTATACTTCACCTATTGAGCAGATATCAAGTTTTTTTTTTGCAGCCATCTCTCTCACAGACTCAAAGAATCGACGATATCGTTGTATCCGTCTAATCGTGGTGTAAGATCGAGGATACTCAATTCATAATGTCGAAGCCTATCATCCTTTACGATATACCGGGAACGAATGAGGAATTCAAAGCTTGGTCACCCAACGTCTGGCTTGCAAGGTGAGTTTATACGATCATAGTTTCTTCATTCTGCGAATTTCAACCTTGTTGCGGGACGGATGTCGACGATCCCATATTTCCTTCTCTGTTTGACCTATGGTATAACATAACACTAACGCATTCGCTCCACAGATTAGCCCTCAATATTAAGAAACTTCCGTACACAACCGAATGGGTTGAATATCCTGATATTCAAGCTCTCTATACCGACAAACTTCACATCTTACCCAAATCCAAGAATGATGACGGTTCACCGTACTACACTCTCCCTGTCATCTACGACCCTTCCACCGACCAGGCAATCTCTGAAACATTCCTTATCGTCGAATACCTCGATGCTCAATACCCATCTCCACTCGCTCATAGATTAATCCCCCCGAAATCGAAAGCATTGATGAGAGCGTTCAGTAGGGCAATCTCACCTAGAATCTGGGGACCAATCGCATGGTTTGTCAACAGATATCCGACATATCAGATTTTGACATCTGAAAGGAGCAAGGACTTCTTCAGAAAGAGTCGTGAAGCTGATTTGGAAGAAGGGAAGAAATTGGAAGATTTGATTCCTACGGATGAGGAAAGGAAAGCAGGGCTGGAGAAGTTGAGAATAGGTTTGGAGAATTTGGGACAGTGGATTGATTTGGAGGGACCTGACAGTGTCTATGTCATGGGAGATGAAGTGAGTTTGGCGGATTGCTATGTCATCGCGTCGATTGCTTGGGTCAGAGGTGTCATTGGCACTGAGAGCGATGTTTGGAAGGGTACTACGAGCTGGGAAGATGGGAGGTGGGAAAGGTACTTCAACAAATTCAAAGACGAAGGGTTCCTTGCCATCCATTGAATAACGGTACCTGATTTGTGTATATTATACAGTGAGTTATCAGATTTGTATGCGCCACAGTCAAGAATTCGCGTGTTTCCAAATGCGAGCTCAACGGTTGAAGAAGAGCTTATTGACCATCAACTGGGCTAATAGCATGCAAGAAGAAGGTGGGACATGAGTAATGTAAGTAAGCTGCTTGCTCGACCAATTTACAAACTCTAACTACTAGAACGCAGCTGAGAGCAAATATGTCATCCTGAGGAAGGCAATGAAATTCCACTTGATTGTTTGCACTTGCGCCAGCAGCGACGATTCCCTGTGTGCCGGGAAAGATTCTTCTTCCTGGGCCCCTGGAACGACGGAACTTGGTCTAAGATATGCCCATAAGTAAGTAGGGATGCGTACGTCCTTTCATCCAATCTTTACTGATTGTTCGCGACAGATACAGGACAGTCAGTGACCGATTCTCCTGCAGGTCCTCGAAGCATTTATCTAACAGTAGCCCATGGCTAGGCCTTCCACAAAATCTCTTCACGCTTTGCGGGAAAGAGCGGGGTGTTGATGTCTCCCTCTTTACCGTCGTCAATAGTTATCTTTTCGCCGCGTTGAAGATCGAAACGACTCTCTTACCAAGGAGCAGTACGACAGCACCTTTCGACGTCACTTCTTACTGCTCAACCTGTACTCCTCCCTATCTCAACCCCTTCCTTGCCTCCATGCTCTTCAATCCCCGCCACCACCAATGGAATAATCATGACGTACGGCTATTTCTAGACTCTACATTAGCGAATCTTCACGTTCGGGATATTCGCAGACGAGGGGCAGCATTTATCGTAAATTGCCAGTGGAGATCGGATCCTTCCTAAATTGCCTTGTGTCCTTCCTCTTCCAAGACCTACACTATTGCCTCGACATTTACAGTCTTCTAGGATGGAAGGCCACCCTTTCCACGATTCCTCTTATCCTTCCGGATACCCCGAGACGATTGTGAATGACTACTCCTCAATGCCTCTTCAGTCAGACGTTGTCGCCACAAATTGAATGTTAAAATCGGTTCTTCTCATGCATTTGGCGAATTCTGTGAGCTTGAGGACTTTTCGTGCATCCTCGTTTTCCTATCAGGATCACCACTCGTCAACGCAGTGAATTTTATCGTCCTGATGAATGACTTGGTTCGTCCGCAATCCATTTGTTACAGGTTTTGCGTGATGATTTGTTTCGTTCTGCTACACGATATTCGCTCCAAGACCCTATACTCCCTGCGCTATTCAAGAATCGTCTATTGTTAACTCTGCTGCGGCTTTCAAGTTTCAAGCAACTGGGGCGCAGGCTGACAATCACTAATAGCAAATACATCTTGACAGCACCGCGCCGTTGTGCGAAGAAGTTCGTTCAGATGATCGACCCAATGTTTAATCATCTTCCAAACAGCTTCCAAGGCTCCAAATTGTTCTCTTCGAAGCATACTTTTCACGATAAAATCAATTGGGCTTGATTACCAAGCACATAAAAGCGATTATTCAGCAGGTAATTTCTCACAAACAATCGATTATCAAGCAGGGCACCTTCCTTTAAAGCTTCCTGTTTGAACTTATCTGTTCGTGAATACCGCCTTGCAATCTGCTAAAACCGGTGACTCGACGATATATAAGGATCCTCTCCAAAACGATAGCAACGGGTTCTCGAACAGTCAAAATGCCTGAGCCAATTATTTTCTACGATATCGCTGGTGGCAAGTTTCCATGGTCTCCAAATACCTGGAACACTCGGTGAGTGTCATGTTTATATTCACTTTAATTATTCCCTATATCGTCGCTTCAAAGATTGACATAAAGCATTGATTCCTCCGAATTTCCTCGTTAGTTACGCCTTGAATATCAAAGGCCTTCCCTATCGAACTGAATTCAGAGAATATCCTGATATCGAACCTACTTGCAAAGAGATCGGCGCTGCACCAACCGGGACTTGGTCAGACGGTCGTCCTCAATACACCTTTCCAGTCATTCACGATCCCAACACCAAACTCACCATCTCTGATTCAGACAACATCATCGAATACCTCGAGAAGCAATACCCAGATACTCCTAGCTTAGTTCCGAAAGGTTCTCTCGGTCTCATACTTGCTTTTCGCCCAGGGTTTGGGAATATATTGGGAGATCGAATTTATGATTTGGTCGTTTTGGCTACCAACCAATATCTTAACCCAAGGAGTGAAGAATATTTCAGAAGGACTAGGGAGTCAAGTCTCAAGAAGAAACTAGAAGATATTGTTCCTGGTGGTCTTAGTAGTGGTAGTGAAGGTAGCGAAAAGGCTTGGAAAGCTGCACAGGCTGGATTTGATACATTGGCATCGTGGTATGATAAGAACGAGGAAGGAAAAGGTCTCTACCTCCTCGGTGATTCGGTTACCTATGCAGATATCTTGGTTGCCGGGAGGTTGATCTGGGTCAGAGTCGTACTTGGAGAGAAGTCTAAGGAATGGGAGAGGTTTAAGAGTTTGAATGGTGGAAAGTGGGAGAAGATTTTGAACAATTTTGAGAAGTACCATACCGTTGTGTAGACTACATTATTCAGATTGTATACCGAGTTGGACCTTATCCACCGGGGGATTTATATGCTTGCTGCTATGGAACTACTTAAGCATTGCTCAGCCTCGTGAGTTGTAATTTACTGTCCAAAGAGGATGATCACACAATTCAGTAGTCCCGACGCGGGCACGTGATCGTATTTACGCGTTCCCCGGGAGCGTCTAATGATACACTTTCCTTAATATCATCTCCCATCTCCTCATTCTGAGATCGACGTCTTCTAAAGCTTGATACGATAGTTCTCAGAAGAATGCAATATGATATAGAAAATATCTAATGCCGAAACAAACCTGCTGGTTAGGTTCAACATCTTCAGTCGCTCACCATCGATTTCAATGTTTGGTAGGCTCCATATGCTCAGCCACCATGCAAAATGAGCGTGACCAAGAGCTCTTTCTTTTACTACTAGTCGCTCGGTGCTCGGATTGATTTTATATCAGCGCCGAAGCCGTTATGGCTGCTCAGGGCAAACACTCAACCGCCCAAGTCTACCGTGATTGAGCACCAACACGTGAACCGAGGTCACGTCTGATTATGAACCTCACCGAGCTATAGGTTGTCAGCAATATCTATCCCCAAGGAATACCTTCAATATCGAGCGTGACGTCCTCACTTTTCATCGGCGAATTTTATTCATTCTCTAGGATTTGTAGAGACATGTCATGTGCCATGGCTACTGGGAGCATATAAAAGCACTTCCATCCTGTGCTCGAACTCTCAACACAATCACCCACGAAACTCCTCTCATCGCTACAACCTGTGGACTATGTCAGAACCTATTGTCTTCTACGATATCCCCCGTGCACATAGCACCTTTCCATGGTCTCCTAA